ACAAAGTGAAAAAAGGTTTTTAGAAATGTTTGCAAATATATATTTTTTTAAAACAAAACAGAAATACCTTATATACATAAGTATTCAAACCCTTTGCTATGAGACTCGAAATTGAGCTCAGGTGCATCTTGTTTCCATTGACCATCCTTGAGATGTTTCTACAACTTGATTGGAGTCCACATGTGGTAAATTCAATTGATTGGACATGTATTGGAAAGACACACCTGTCTAAATAAGGTCCCACAGATGACAAGGCATGTCAGAGCAAAAACCAAGCCATGAAGTCTAAGGAATTGTCCGTAGAGCACCAAGACAGGATTTTGTCGAGGCACAGATCTGGGGAAGGGTACCAAAAACATTCTGCAGCATTGAAAGTCCCCAAGAACACAGTAGTCTCCATCGTTCTTAAATGTAAGAAGTTTGGTACAACCAAGACTCTTCCTAGAGCTGGCCGCCCAGCCAAGGGGAGGTGACCAAGAACCCGATAGTCACTCTGACAGAGCTCGAGAGTTCCTCTGTGGAGATGGGAGAACCTTCCAGAAGGACAACCATCTCTGCAGCACTCCACCTATCAGGACTTTATGGTAGAGTGGCCAATAAAAGTCAAATGACAGCCCACTTGGAGTTTGCCAAAAGGCACCCAAAACTCTCAGACCATGAGAAACAAGATTCTCTGGTCTGATGAACCCAAGATTGAAATCTTTGCCCTGAATGTTAAGCATCACATCTGGAGGAAACCTGGCAGCATCCCCACAGTGAAGCATGGTGGTGGCAGCATCATGCTGTGGCGATGTTTTTCAGCGGCACGGACTGGGAGACTAGTCAGGATTGAGGGAAAGAGGAAAGTAGCAAAGTAAAGAGAGATCCTTAATGAAAATGTTCTCCAGAGCGCTCATGACCTCAGACTCGGGTGAAGGTTCACCTTGCAACAGGACAACGACCCTAAGCACACAGCCAAGACAACGGAGGAGTGGCTTCGGGACAAGTCTCTGAATGCCATTGAGTGGCACAGCCAGAGCCCGGACTTGAACCCGATCGAACATCGCTGGAGAGACCTGAAAATAGCTGTGGAGCGACGCTCCCCATCCAACTTGACAGAGCTTGAGAGGATCTGCAGAGAAGAATGGGAGAAACTCCCCAAATACAGGTGTGCCAAGCTTCTAGCGTTATATTCAAGACTCGAGGCTGTAATCGCTGCCAAAGGTGCTTCAACAAAGCATGGAGTAAAGGGTCAGAATACTTATGTAAATGTGATATTTCCTTTTTTTCTATATATATTTGTGCAAAAATGTATACAAATCAGTTTTTGCTTTGTCATTATGGGGTATTGTGTGTAGATTGATGAGGTGAAAAACCTATTTAATCAATTTTAGAATAAGGCTGAATACTTTTCGAATGCACTGTAGGTAAGAGATCAGAGTGTAGTGGGTCTTAAATATTTTAATGAATATTTACCCATGTCAGTTTGCTCGGTTTTGCCCTGTAATCACAGCCGGTTTGGAAGTCTTTGTTTAGAAGTGCAAGTGATATAAAACACCTAGTATTCATTAATATGCAAATCTCTACAGCCAACCTGCTTCCTCTAATCCCTTGCAGTTACAGTAAAATATTGCATAAATCATTTCAATTTCATTCCTCTGGCATCAAGTTACCGTGAATATTTCAGTAACGTACACTGAACAAAAATATAAAGGCAACATGCAACAATTACAAAGATTTTACAGATTTCCATTTCATATAAGGAAATCAATTGAAATACATTCATTAGGGCCTAATATATGTATTTCACATGCCTGAGAATACAGATATGCATCTGTTAGTCACAGATACCTTAAAAGAAAAGTAGGAGCGTGGATCAGAAAACCAGTCAGTTTCTCGTTTGACCACTGTTTGCCTCAGGCAGTGCAACACATCTCCTTCGCATAGAGTTGATCAGACTGTTGATTGTGGCTTGTGGAATGTTGTCCCACTCCTCTTCAATGGCTGTATGAAGTTGCTCGATATTGGCGAGAACTGGAACACGCTGTCATACACGTCGATCCAGAGCATTCAAAACATGCTCAATGGGTGACATGTCTGGTGGGTGTGCAGGCCATGGAGGAACTGGGACATTTTCAGCTTTCAGAAATTGTGTACAGATCCTTACAACATGAGGCCGTGCATTATCATGCTGAAACATGAGGTGATGGTGGCATGAATGGCACAACAATGGGCCTCAAGATCTCGTCACGGTATCTCTGTGCATTCAAATTGCCATCGATAAAATACAAATGTGTTTGTTCTCCGTAGCTTATATCGGCCCATACCATAATCCCACTGCCACAATGTGGCACTCAGCAAATTGCTCGACCACACAACGCCATACACGCTGTCTACCATCTGCCCGGTACAGTTGAAACTGGGATTAATCCATGAAGAGCACACTTCTCTAGTGTGCCAGTGGCCTTCAAAGGTGAGCATTTTCCCACTGAAATTGGTTACCACAGTCAGGTCAAGACCCTGGTGAGGATGACAAGCATGCAGATGAGCTTCGCTGAGACAGTTTCTGACAGTTTGTGCTGAAATTCTTTGGTTTTGCAACTCCACAGTTTCATTAGCTGTCCGGGTGACTGGTCTCAGACGATCCCGCAGGTGAAGAAGCCAGATGTGGAGGTCCTGGGCTGGCATGGTTACACGTGGTCTGCAGTTGTGAGGCCGGTTGGATGTACTGCCAAATTCTCTAAAATGACGTTCGAGGCGGCTTATGGTAGACAAATAAACATTCAATTCTCTGGCAACAGCTCTGGTGGACATTCCTGCAGTCAGCATGCCAATTGCACGCTCCTTCAAGTCTTGAGACCTCTGTGGCAATGTGTTGTGTGACAAAACTGCACATTTTAGAGTAGCCTTTTATTGTCCCCAGCACAAGGTGCACCTGTTTAATGATCATGCTGTTTAATCCGCTTCTTGATATGCCATACCTGTCAGGCGGATGGATTATCTTGGCAAAGGAGAAATGCTCACTAACATGGATGTAAACAAATGTATGCAAAACAATTGAGAGAAAAGCTTTTTGTCCGTATGGAAAATGTCAGGGATTTTTTATTTTAGCTCATGAGACATGGGACCAACACTTTACATGTTGTGTTTATGTTTTTTTTCAGAATATTAGCCCTACCCAGAGATAGTCTGAGATATATCATAAGATATCTTATTGTAATTACAATTATTTATTTACTATTATTTACAAGTAATGTATCCTTAACTACAACAATATTTTCAGTAACGGTTACAGAAACGTTTTACTTGCTATGACTGTGATAATTTTTTTTAACAACCTTGGTTGAATGCATAGACTGTAAGTTGCGAAGGACAAGAGCTCCAACTAAATTACCAAAATGTAAATGTAAAAATCAAAACTTGCAAAGAACACTGTAATATGTCGCTGCATGGGTAATTCCAGTAGTATATTGTAAATTTGATTACAGTAAACATTTTGGTAGCTTAAAATTGATTAACGTCAAATGGATGACAGTAGCTGTACTCTAAATAAATTACAGTAAGTTACTGTACATTTTACAGGAAATGTTTTACAGTGTAGTCCCATACTCAGTCTTCTTAACCCTGGCAGTCATTCTGAATGCAGGTTGCGGGTGGAATTTTTTTTGAATTGTTGGATATTCCCACTCTGGTTGGATTTCAATAGGATTACACATCACTTTGCAAGCCAGCATAATGTGATTTACAGGCCTGATGTGGCCCATTTACAATGACTTTCAGGCCAATCTATTAGGCTAAACCTAGGCCTTACGAGACATGTAATGTCTTAAATAATTATATTTGAATGATATATTATATTTATAATAACATATTGACTTAAGTTCTCACTTAAGCCGAGGCTGCCTCCCCTCCTTGTTCGGGCAGGCTTCGGCGTTCGTCGTCACCGGCTTACTAACCACTGCCGCTCCCATTATCATCACTCCACTTGTCTTGTCTTGTTAATCACACACACCTGGTTCTCATCCCTTCATTAGTCTGTGTATAAGTGTTCCCTCTGCTCCCTTGTCTGTGTGGGTGATTGTTCCATGTGAGAGTAGAGTAGTTTCCCCTGTGCCTATGGTTGTATGTTGCTATCCAGCGCAACTGTGACGGAAAGGAATAAACTCTGTATTCTGTGATTTACCCTCCTGCACCTGACTCCTTCAATCACACTCATCACAGCCACATTACTGAAAATGAAGGAACGCAACAAGCATGTCTCTGTCACTAACTAATACAGTCATGGGTGGTAACTCTACAATTCACTCGAAAGGCAAGGCACACCGGGAAATATGGAAATAAGGCTTTACACTCTATTCAATCCGCATCACATCAAGTACAGCTTTACAGGGTGATCAAATTTAAATGCGATGTTCCCGCTTTAGAGGAGACTGCATTCACAGTAAACACTGCATATGTTGGCTCAATCGTAAATTACCTTTACATTTATATTGTGAAATCTGTAACGCTTCAGCTTTACAGATTTAATTGTGCCCTAAGCAAAGGGTTAATTTTACTCTGAAAAGTGTGGACCGTATAGACACTGGAACAGTGTTAAATTCAACCCTCTCGGAGTTGATTCAACAATGGAGAATTTGTTGTGTAAGAGTCCAGGGTGTGAATCAAGCTAGATCAAATGTGTTTATGTACTCTCCTCTCCATCTCTGTACCCAGCATCCCTCCACAGAGACAGGGTGACAGGGTGACCCTCTTGCTGTCAATTTAAACGGGTCTGAGGGTTGGGCGGAACTGGGCTGCACCTGGCCATATTGCACAGTTGGAAAGTGATGGAGGGTAAGAGCTCACCTGGCATTGGCATGAAAAGGGAGGGAGGGAATTTCGCCTGGCAGAAGGGTAGATATAATATGAGAGAGGGAGAGAGGAACAGAGAGATGTATGGAGAGAGGGATAGAGGGTGAGAGCTCACCTGGCTGATGGCTGGATATAGAGAAAACAAGGGAGGGAGTGAGACTGAAAAAGGGATGGCGGTTGAGAGCTCACCTGGCCGAGAGAAGCGAGGCAGAAGGATGGATATGGAGGGAGCCAGGGCGGAGGAGGGGGGGAGCTCACCTGGAAGAGGCCTGGATATAATGGGAGAGAGGGAGAGAGGGGGTCTCTGGGCTTGGGTCTTCGGTCCCAGTGGGACGTGGGTCCGTTGGACACAGAGAACCAAGCAGCCTCTCCTCTTCTGTCCTGTCAGAACTGAACTGGGTCCAGACCCCCGAGGCTAAGGAACTGGGCCGCCCTGCTTGCTTCATCGTTAGGAGAGAGAGAGCAACATGCCCTGTTCTATTTATAATACCCCTTTTTTCAGGACTTATATGCCCCCACAACACACACATACAGGTGCAGGTGCGTACACGTGCAGGAACATTTACATACTTGTACTTACACACACCTACATATTTGGGTTGCTACTTAGTTGGAGATCTTTACCAAGCAGGTAGCAGGTTTGTATGTTCAAATCCCTCTCAGCCTGCTAACCTAAGATAGAGGTCCCAACCATCCAGAGGAGTCATGCACCCCAAAAATTAGAGGGAGCACAAAGTACATGAAAATGGCAGGGTTGGAGAATTTCGAATTTTTCAAACACCTGAAACAAATTTTCCTGCAATCTAGAGCCATAATCACTATGCTTAATTCTATGTAAAAATATATGTTTATTTCTCTGCACAACTAAGTATACCTCTTGAACCGTCTGTATCCTCCTGACAGGTGATTATTTTTTTAAAGAAACTAAATGTGCTTCTCTGCAACTCTGCTAAAATCTGGCTAAAAGATTGAAAGGAATGTGAGTCTTATTCAGTACATTTAGAAATTGCTTGCTTTTCTAAAGTTTAGCAACCTTGCCAGCAGGCATACCAGCTAAGATAGATAGACAAGCTAGCTGCTCTAACTTGATTGATAGCCTGAAATGGCTTTTTGGTAGCTAGTTATGAGGTTGGGAGATTGGGAACCTGCCTGGGCTAGCTAAAGCCAACTTCATAAAATTACTAGGTGGCTAGTAGTATTACAGAGAAATAACAATAACAAAAATTAACTCTTTTTTATTTCTAAATTTAAAAAAAGGAGACAGCTAAAGGGGGCACGATGGGCATGATGCCTCTTCAACCATTCATCATCCAGTGACACACCAAGGCAGTGATGCAGACTGGAGAGGTTGGACATGGAGGTAGGATAGGAAGGGTAATCCTTTTGGAACAGACGATCATTTTGACATTGTGGGAGAGAGAGAGGGAGAAAACAAAAGAGAGAAAGAACGAGAGAGAGAGAGAGAAAGAAAATGAGAGGGGGAAAAAGAGAGAGAGACCAAGGTAACCCAGTCATCCTTGTCCCCATCGCCAGGGGAAATCTCTCTAACTACAAGGTTAATTAAGCACTAAAATGAGATCAAGAAGCTTTGTTTTCCAACTCATTAACCAATTACAACGGCCCCGCTCTCTCTCTCCAAATAGATCAACATTCATATTGGATAGCCTGTAATTGGTTGTCATTGTGAATAATGTCGGCCAACTGGCAGGATGTCGGGAAGGTTTGAGGTAAAAAATGGTCTCCGGTGAGTATAATATGTAAACAGTAGAGCAGAATTTATAATGTTTTTTCATTTTTACTGCTACTACTTTGGATTGGGATAGCAGTTGAAACATAGTATCTTTACTGCTACCAACCAAATCTTTGTGACCACACAGCACCTTCCCTCTGGGGCTTGAATCAAACATTTGTGAGTCCAAAAGTCTTGAGAGACTTACACAATCCAGACAGAGAGTCTCGCCACCTGAGGCCAGATAAACAGATAAACAGCTAGGTGTACCAAACAGCATGTGCCACACACAATAAAATCACTCTCCATTTGACTGTTCTCCAGTTACAGAATAGTCTCAGCACAATCTTAGCATGTGCCAACCTATTAAACACGTAACTGCCAGGTTTCTCAATATGAGCACAGTGGCAATCTTGCTCCACTAGAGCACAGCTCCAATCTTCTCTCCTGTAGAGGTCTTAATGGCTGCCAGCATGTTTGAGCAGTGGGTTAGCCTCATACAGACGTTTGGCAGGGACAGTGAGGGGTGGTGAGAGCCAACCAGGGACGCATTAGCCCCGTGATTTGTGAGCGTTTCAGTAGAACACTGACCTGGGATCAGGAGTTCCATCACGGCTTCAGGCGTTTTACACAGCACACACACGCACACACAAACACACACACATACAAACACAAACACACGCTCATTGGGCCACACTCATACCATACACAAACACATGCACAATCACTGATCACACGCACGCATGTTTGACGCACACAAGCGCACACACTTATCACTGATAGGGGTCACTGGATAACCATGTTATACGGGCGATGAATAGATGGGTTAGCTGATAATGTCACAAAAAAAATGCACACGCTTCAATGGGGCAGAAGTCTGTGAGTTGTTGTGATTCTGGATGGCCAGATGACTAAAAACAATGACAAGAAACTGCCATGTGGGGAATCGTAAGTGGCCTCTGATACCATGTCTTGTTTTGAGGTGTTTTGACAGATTTTAGACAAAATGTTGTTTACATGTTGTCAACATTCTAAGCCAACCCTGTCTGTTTTGCCTCATAGTTGAGCATGTGTTGGTTTTGTTGCTAAACAATCAACCCTTCTATAGATAATCCTACAGCCTATATCCTCCATGTAATCTTCAGACATATTGATTTAATTTGGAATTCATTAAACTGGCTGAGGTTATTTGACTGCTCTTTTCCGGAGTATGTCTTTGCTCAGGCGGTTGTGAAAGGAAGCAGCACATCTGAATTGATTCATCCACAGTAAATCAATTTAAACAAAAAATCTGAGATGTTTAGCAGAATGTGGAGATGGTGGACTAAATATACTCCGGTTCAGTACTCTGTAAGTAACGAACTAGATAAAATACAGATATTTTGTATTTTCAATACATTTCAAACTAATAAACACATTTGCAAGTACACGCCTTCACAACTACACCATTCTCAGTAACGGAAACAAAAAAAAAAAAACGTTTAGCTTGCTATGACTGTGATATGTGGTTGTATATCTACCTTAAATGACTGCTTTGGATAAGAGTGCCTGCTAAATGACCAACATTTAAATGTAAATAAAAAAATTAACCATTACAAAGTACACTTGTTTCTGGGGCAGTGTTCATTAGAATAATACCCAGCATGCTTTACAAGTGTTCATTTTTATATTTAGGGGTTCAAAGCGAAGCTGTGAAACCTAGTGTTGTTCTCTGAATTCACATTATTTCAAATAACGCAAGTATAGATTGGTAACTTTTTTATAATTTGGCACACAAGTAACTTGGTCAAAAAGAATGGCACCCATTGGCATATAGGTGGCGCTGATATAAGAAGTCTCACTTAAACCCTCATATCCGTTGCCCCGTTTGACTTTGTATGTAGGTGTCTTTGCTAATGCTGAACGAATTTGCCTCAAGGGCCCATAAGGTCCGTCTGGATAGATTCCCTGCAACTTGGACATTTTGGAAAACAGCTGGAAAATGTTGGTATGTACGCCCATGGTACATCTCTTTACTTAGTTTGAGAAAAGCTAAGGGATTGGTTAAGAGATCGTAATCAGGAAATCGGATTTTGCAAATCCACTCCACAATGGCCTATCAACTTGAAACTTTTTAGGTTAAAGAAAGACATCACGTTAAGTTTGGCATTGATATCTTAAAACTTCTTAGATGTAAAGTCCCCTGTTTGGAGACCTGCATGGTTTTGGTACTGTTTCCGACCGTCATTTTCACTTATAAATCGATCATATATCGAAATTGCTTGCATTGAGCAGTAGCCCTGAATTTCACAGACACAGAAGTTTGTATCTTTTGCCTGTGTGAAGCAGGATGTGAAATCTGACACCATTTGAAGCTGGGATGTCCCTCCTACCATTTCATTCGCTCTTCCAACTGTCCATCAACTCCTAGCTGAACTCTACATCACAGCCACTAACAACATATGCCTGGAATCCTTACATCGTAGCGCAGCAGGAGAGAGTGGTTTTTTCACATTTTCTCTAACACTAAAAATCCCAAAATTTATTTTACAGTTATAAGGAAGGTTAAATCGTATAGTTAGTTGTTTTATAATTTGATTATACTATATTTAGAAAACATATTCAGTTTTGTTGAATAGGAACTACATAATATAAAATATTTCAAATTTTAATATTTTTAATCATATTTGTACTGTGTACTTGAGCTCGTGTTCTCAAAAGTGACTACACCTCAGCAATTTATAACAATTTTTACCAGAAAGGTTAGATTTTAACCTTTCTTGGAGTATGCAGCATTACTAGTTATTGTTTATGATAAATAATTACTTTTGGGGAATATGTAGATTACATTTTCGATTACATTTAGTTACTGGTTAAGAAATAAGGAAACTATTAACAATTCACTTTTTTTTACTACAGTGAGGGAAACAAGTATTTGATCCCCTGCCGATTTTGTACGTTTGCCCACTGACAAAGAAATGATCAGTCTATAATTTTAATGGTAGGTTTATTTGAACAGTGAGAGACAGAATAACAACAAAAAAATCTAGAAAAACGCATGTAAAATTTTTTATAAATTGATTTGCATTTTAAAGAGGGAAATAAGTATTTCACCCCCTCTCTATCTGAAAGATTTCTGGCTCCAAGGTGTCTTTTATACAGGTAATGAGCTGAGATTAGGAGCACACTCTTAAGCGGAGTGCTACTAATCTCAGCTTGTTACCTGTATAAAAGACACCTGTCCACAGAAGCAATCAATCAATCAGATTCCAAACTCTCCACTATGGCCAAGACCAAAGAGCTCTCCAAGGATGTCAGGGACAAGATTGTAGACCTACACAAGGCTGGAATGGGCTACAAGACCATCGCCAAGCAGCTTGGTGAGAAGGTGACAACAGTTGGTGCGACTGTCAGTCTCCCACGCCCTGGGGCTCCATGCAAGATCTCACCTCGTGGAGTTGCATTGATCATGAGAACGGTGAGGAATCAGCCCAGAACTACACGGGAGGATCTTGTCAATGATCTCAAGGCAGCTGGGACCATAGTCACCAAGAAAACAATTGGTAACACACTACGCCGTGAAGGACTGAAATCCTGCAGCGCCCGCAAGGTCCCCCTGCTCAAGAAAGCACATATACAGGGCCGTCTGAAGTTTGCCAATGAACATCTGAATGATTCAGAGGAGAACTGGGTGAAAGTGTTGTGGTCAGATGAGACCAAGATCGAGCTCTTTGGCATCAACTCAACTCTCCGTGTTTGGAGGAGGAGGAATGCTGCCTATGACCCCAAGAACACCATCCCCACCGTCAAACATGGAGGTGGAAATATTATGCTTTGGGGGTATTTTTCTGCTAAGGGGACAGGACAACTTCACTGCATCAAAGGGACGATGGACGGGGCCATGTACTGTCAAATCTTGCGTGAGAACCTCCTTTCCTCAGCCTGGGCATTGAAAATGGGTTGTGGATGGGTATTCCAGCATGACAATGACCCAAAACACAAGGCCAAGGCAACAAAGGAGTGGCTCAAGAAGAAGCACATTAAGGTGCTGGAGTGGCCTAGCCAGTCTCCAGACCTTAATCCCATAGAAGATCTGTGGAGGGATCTGAAGGTTCGAGTTCCCAAACGTCAGCCTTGAAACCTTAATGTCTTGGAGAAGATCTGCAAACCTGGTGGCCAACTACAATAAACATCTGACCTCTGTGATTGCCAACAAGGGTTTTGCCACCAAGTACTAAGTCATGTTTTGCAGAGGGGTCAAATACTTATTTCCCTCATTAAAATGCATATCAATTTATAACATTTCCATTATTGAGCAGACACTCTTATCCAGAGCGACTAACATATAGTGAGTCCATACATTATTTATTTATTGTTTACATTCTGGTCCCCCATGGGAACCGAACCCACAACCCTGGCGTTGCAAACGCCATGCTCTAACAACTGAGCTACCTCCCCTACCCTGGACCAATTGTGCCCCACCCCATGGGTCTCCCTGTCACGGCAGGCTACAACAGCGCCTGGATTCGAACCAGGATCTCTAGTGGCACAGATAGCACTGCAATGCAGTGCCTTAGACCACTGCGCCACTCGGGAGGACATGTGTATTTCTGGATTTTTGTGTTGTTATTCTGTCTCTCACTGTTCAAATAAACCTACCATTAAAATTCTAGACTGATCATGTCTTTGTCAGTGGGCAAATGTACAAAATAAACAGGGGATCAAATACTTTTTTTCCTCACTGTATGTAATGCTAATGCTTAAAATAATCATAAAACATATTCTCATGGACTAAAAGTCAGATTCACTCAAAATGTGGTCTTTGGACTCATCACAATAGTCCCTAAAGAGTTTGAGAAAATCACTTTTATCCATTCAAAGATGGCCACATTATACCAGTAGATGGATATTAGCACAGGTATTACCCTATATGTACAGAAGTATGTGCACAACCCTTCAAATTAGTGGATTCGGCTATTTCAGTCACACCCGTTGCTGACAGGTGATTAAAATCGAGCACACAGCCATGCAATCTCCATAGATAAAACACTGGCAGTAGAATGGGCTTACTTAAGAGCGCAGTGACTTTCAACGTGGCACCGTCGTAGGATGCCACCTTTCCAACAAGTCAGTTCGTGAAATTTCTGCCCTGCTAGAGCTGCCCTGGTCAACTGTAAGTGCTGTTATTGTGAAGTGGAAACGTCTAGGTGCAACAACGGCTCAGCCGTGAAGTGGTAGGCCACACAAGCTCACAGAACGGGAACGCTGAGTGCTGAAGCCCACAGCGCGTAAAAATCGTCTGTCCTCATTTGCAACACTCACTAACGAGTTCCAAACTGCCTCTGGAAAAAATATCAACACAGCTTCATGAAATTGATTTCTATTGGGAGCTTCATGAAATTGATTTCTATGGCCGAGCAGCCGCACACAAGCCTAAGATCACCATGGAGTGGTGTTAAGCTCGCTGTCATTGGACTGTGGAGCAGTGGAAATGCGTTTTCTGGAGTAGTTAATCACGCTGGGTTTGGCGGATGCCAGGAAGACGCTACCTGCCCCAATGCATAGTGCCAACTGTAAAGTTTGGTGGATGAGGAATAATGGTCTGGGGCTGTTTTTCATGTTTCGGGCTATGCCCCTTACTTCCAGTGAAGGGAAATCCTAACACTACAGCATACAATGACAATCTAGAGGATTCTGTGCTTTCAAGTTTGGGGAAGGCCCTTTCTTGTTTCAGCATGACAATGCCCCCGTGCACAAAGAGAGGTACATGGTTTGTCGAGATCGGTGTGGAAGAACATGACTGGCCTGCACAGAGCCCTGACCTCAACTCCATCGATCACCTTTGGGATGAATTGGAACGCCGACTGCTAGCTAGGCCTAATCGCCCAACATCAGTGCCCGATCTCACTAATGCTCTTGTGGTTGAATGGAAGCAAGTCCCCACAGCAATTTTCCAACATCTAGTGGAAAGCCTTTCCAGAAGAGTGGTGGCTGTTATAACAGCGAAGGGGGGACCAACAATATATTAATGCCAATGATTTTGGAATGAGATGTTCGATGAGCAGATGTCCACATACTTTTGGTAATGGAGTGTAAGTTAATATGCCAATAAAAATAATTCATGAACCATAGGACCAAATAACACGAAATAAGAATGTAGGCCCATGATACATGTCTTAAATTAGTTTGAGAAAGCTAAGGGATTGGTCAAATGAGGGCTGAGTTATTGACAAATCAACAATCGGATTTTACGTGTCCATTTAAACCACTGTAAATCCACTCCATGTAATGAATACTCGGATCAGGTGAACCAGATCGAGTCTGATGACTCGGGGAAGATCGGGGAAGTGTCAGACTCTGTCTAGATCCAGCCAAACCCCGATCCCTTATAGTATCCCCCTCCCCAGGGCCGGCTCCTGACGGCCTTCTACCTCTACCTGGAGGTCTTCCTCTGGGTCGGGGTCCTGAATGATCTGGGTGTTCAGCGTGGAAAGTGGCCTTGAGAGCGGGATCCAGTATGTCCTTCGCAGGGATCCAGGACCGTTCCTCAGGTCCATATCCCTCCCAGTCCACGAGATATTCGATGCCCCCTCGTCTCCGTCTTCACTCCAGTATCTCGTGGACTGTATAGGTGGTGTCCTGTTCATCCTCCAGAGGTGGTGTAGTAGGTTGTTGAGCGATTGGGGGGTACATCGGGCTATAGTGGACAGGTTTCAACAGCGAGACGTGGAACGTAGGGGTTATCCTGTAGTGTCGAGGAAGTAACAGACGGTAGGTGACAGGGTTAATACGTCTCAGTATCTTGAAAGGCCCGATGTACCTGGGTTGGAGCTTCTTACAGCTCCGTCGGAACCGCAGGTCCCGGGTAGACAGCCACACTTGTTGCCCGGGTTGATAAGTGGGAGTAGGTCTCCGGCGTCGGTCGGCGTAGGTCTTTTGCTGTTGTGAGGCCTGACTGAGATGTTGATGGGCCGTCTCCCAGACCTGCGCACTCCGACGGAACCACTCGTCGACAGCCGGTACCATCCCTGGTGCAGTATCCCACGGGAACAGAGGTGGTTGATACCCTAGAACACACTGGAAGGGCGTTAGACGTAGGGAGGTGTGAATGAGGGAGTTCTGAGCATACTCTACCCAAGGAAGAAATCGGCTCCACTCCTGCGGCTGCCGCGAACATTGTTGCCGTAGATATTTCCCAATTTCTTGATTGAGCCGTTCTGTCTGCCCATTGGCCTGGGGATGATATCCGGAGGTTAGGCTCACCGAGATGCCCAAGCGTTCGCAGAAGGCCTTCCATACCCGGGAAACAAACTGGGGTCCCCGGTCGGACACAATATCCTCCGGAAAACCAAACTACCGGAACACCTGGTTAAACATTGTCTCAGCCATCTGAGTGGCGTTAGGCAAACGGGTCATGGGTACTAACCGGCACATCTTGGAGAATCGATCGATGACCACGAGAATTACAGTATGGCCCTCTGATTCTGGGAGATCTGTAACAAAGTCCATAGCAATGTGCGACCAGGGTCGTTGAGGAGTTGGCAATGGCATCAGCTTACCCTCCGGTAGTGCACGAGGCGCCTTGGATTGCGCGCATACTGGGCAGGATAAGACATAGTCTCGGACGGGATCTGTAAGGGAATCCCACCAGTATTTTCGGCTGATGAGTCGTGTAGTTCGAGTAATTCCGGGATGACCAGATCCCAGCGACGTGTGGCACCATTCCAACAGTTGTGGTCGAAGCGGAGCTGGTACAAACACCTTAGACACCGGGGTTTCTGGAGGGGCTGGTTCCGCTTGGAGGCTCTCCTGAATGGTGTCATCAATAGCCCACCTCACAGGACCAGCACGGCAACTCATGGGGAGGATAGGTTCTGGTTCCACGGGTCTTTCTGCGCGCTCGAACCGTCGGGAAAGCGCGTCCGCCTTTCCATTCTTGGACCCGGGGATATAAGAGACAGTGAATCGGAAACGGTTGAAGAATAAAGACCACCTAGCCTGTCGGGAGTTCAGTCGTTTAGCACTGTGAAGATACTCCAGGTTGCGGTGGTCCGTGAGCACTTGGAACGGATGCTCTGCTCCCTCCAGCCAATGTCTCCACTCCTCCAGTGCTAACTTCACCGCCAGTAATTCACGATTATCCACGCCGTAGTTCTGCTCGGCCAAATTCAGTTTCCTTGAAAAGAAAGCACAGGGTCGTGATTTAGGCGGCTCACCTTGGCGCTGGGATAACACGGCTCCAACTCCAACCTCCGAGGCGTCCACCTCCACGATAAACGGCAAGGTAGGGTCCGGCTGACATAAAATAGGAGCGGTGGTAAAGCGTTGTTTCAACGTCTCAAAGGCACGCACTGCCTCCTCCGTCCAGTTCAGACCGCGACCCTTGTAGCTGGTCATCGCCGACAGGGGAGCTGCGGTTGTGCTGAAATTACGCACGAACCGTCTATAGTAATTGGCAAACCCTAAGAATCTCTGGAGCTCTTTCACCGTCTGGGGTTGAGGCCAGTCTCGTACCGCTTGCACCTTGGATTCATCCAGTTTAACCCCGTCGGGAGTGAGTATGGCCCCAAGGAAGGAAATCGTAGTGACATGGAATTCACTCTTTTCTGCCTTCACGAACAGGGAATGTTGTAGGAGTCGGTCCAGAACCTGTCGTACATGGGACACATGTTCACTCAGAGAGTTTGAATAGATTAGGATGTCATCAATGTACACTGACAAAGCTATCAATCAAGTCCCTGAAAATGTCATTCATGAACGCCTGGAAGACTGAGGGCGCGTTGGTAAGTCCATAGGGCATGACACAATATTCATAGTGTCCTCGATGGGTGATGAAGGCGGTCTTCCATTCATCCCCTTCTCTAATGCGCACCAGATTGTACGCACTCCTGAGGTCCAGTTTACTGTAGATTGAGGCCTGCCCCACCTGCTCGAGGGCTGCTGGAATCAAAGGCAGGGGGTAACGATTTTTGATGGTAATATCGTTCAAACCTTGATAGTCTATACAAGGACGCAGTCCGCCATCCTTTTTCTTAACGAAGAAAAAACTGGATGCGGCGGGAGACGTAGATTGGCGAATGGCCCCTTGCTGTAGCGCCTCATCAATATACTTGCTCATCGATTCTCGTTCCGGCTGTGACAAAGGGTAGATTCTTCCACGAGGAGGTGTAGCCCCGGATAGCAGATCAATCGCGCAGTCCCAGGCCCGATGAGGTGGTAACACGGTAGCCCTCTCCTTGGAGAACACCTGCGCGTAATCCTGGTATTCTGTTGGAACAACAGTAGACACCGCACCCTGCGCATCCTCCACAGTAGACGTTTTGCACGGTAAATTGAGGCACTCTGCCCTACATACCTCACTCCAAGCAGTGATATCGCCAGATTTCCAGGAGATGACCGGATCATGGGTGACGAGCCAGGGGTGGCCGAGAACTAGCGGCTCCCGTGGAGCGGAGATGACGAACAGAATGATGTTCTCATGGTGTATGGCGCCCACTTGTAACTTTATTACCTCAGTACGGTGCGTAATGAACCCAGTGCCCATGGGCTCACCGTCTAGCGCGTTGACTCGCAGGGGAGGTTGAATTGGGATAAGTTGAACTCCCAATTCCTCAGCGAGACCCATATCCATAAAACTGGCAGCCGCTCCGGAATCAATAAGACCTTCCAACCTGCGCACTTTCTCTCCGACAGATAAGGTAACTGGCACATACATTTGTTTAGATGTAATGTTGAAAACTTGAGTCTCACTCACCGGTTTGGCATTTCCGAGGCGATATTCTGGGGTACGGTTTGGTCGTACCGGACATTGACGAATGAAATGACCCGACTGACCACAATACAGGCATAGTCCATCTTGCCGACGTTGTTGTCTCACCGAACTTTGTAAGGGCGACCGTCCCAGTTGCATGGGTTCCTCCTCAGATTCTCTCCTCCGCTCTGTCGATTGCTTAGGACCTGTGACCGAGGGCTCCCGGACTGCGGATACCCTGTGTTGCACTATCAACTTATCAATAGAGATGGCTATGTTGATAAATTCATGTAGCGCAGTGATATCTCCCCGACAGGCCAACTCAGTCTGTACTTCTTTGCGCAGCCCTCTTCGGAAAACGGTGAGCAAAGCAGTCTCGCTCCAGCCGCTACCAGCTGCTATAGTCCGAAACGCTAAGGCGTAATCGGCTACTGTGCGACGGCCCTGCTGAAGTTCGCATAGTTGGTCTCCCACGCTACGCCCAGATACTGGGTTGTCGAACACCTCTCGGAACAGTCTCTTAAACTGAACTTCCACATTCAACTCGGGGACCTCAGCTGCCCATAGCGCAGTAGCCCAATCCAGTGCTCTTCCCGTTAGCAGAGAAATCATGAAATCCACCCTGCTACGGTCATCGGAAAACATAGTACGATTGTAGGACATATACAGGGACGTCTGAAGTAGAAACCCCTGACATTTGCCAGGTTCCCCATCGTACTTAGTCGGTAGAGAAATCGGAGGTGCATGACGAGGACAGACTGTGCTCGGGGTGGTGCCTTCAGCCGCACCAGCGTTGAGTAGTTGCAGGAGTTCATCCATCCGTTTCTCCTGTATCTCCCATCGCCTCTGTAATTCCGCTGGATCCATGGTTGTGACGAGGTATTCTGTAATGAATACTCGGACAGAGTGGTAAGATCCAATCGCAGAATTGCGATGCTTTATTAGAGTACAGACAAGGGAATAGCTTAATCGTGGTCTGGCGAGCTGTGGTCAAAACCGGGCAAGGCAGAGACAGGCAGAGGTACCAAGGGAGCGGGCGTAGTCGTAGTCGAGGGCACAGGCACAGGTTCAGAATACGGTAATCACTGGGATAGACAAGCAGAAGATTAAGCAATTCGGGAAGTCAAACAACGAAGCACAGGTCTGGTACACTGGTAATCAAAAACAAACTCTCTCTCTCTCTATCTCTGAACAAAAACGCTTAGCAAGTCACAAAGGAACAATACCTCGCACCGACTGAACTTCTGAGCACACCTTATATCCTACTCTAATTACTGACAGGTGTGCTCAGAACTCAGGTGAACCAGATCGAGTCTGATGACTCCCTCTCTCAGTAGATCGGGGAAGTGTCAGACTCTGTCTAGATCCAGCCAAACCCCGATCCCTTATACTCCACAGTTGTCTATCAACTTCAAACTTGTCATCGTTATCATTGGAGTCCCTAAGATGAATTTGGTATTGATATCTCAAACAATAAGGAAACTATTAATGCTCAAAATCATCTGCAATCATCTTCTCCTCATGAACCATATGTCTGATTCACTCCAGATTTTCTATGTGGACCCAATTACATCAGCATTTAATGTTTTTGAGAAAAGATAGTTGTTGCATTCAAATACGGCCACACTGTACCTATAGATTCAAGTTAGTGCATATTCTAATGCTAAAAATACTAAAACAATATTCTTCTCATGGAGCATAAATCAGATTGACTCCAGATCTGGTATATAGACTCAATTAATGATCATCTAATGAGTTTGAGAATGATTAGTTGCTGCATTCAAAGTCGGCCACACTACACTACTACAGTGCCTTCAGAAAGTATTCATACCGCTCGACTTATTCCACATTTTGTTGTGTTACAGCCTGAATTCAAAATGCCCCATAATGACAAAGTGAAAACATGTGTTTGAAATGTGTGGAAATGTATTTAAAATTAAATACATTAATATTTCATATACGTAAGTATCCACACCCCTTAGTCAATAAATGTTGGAATAACATTTGGCAGTGATTACAGCTGTGAGTCTTTCTGGGCCATGTCTCTAATAGCTTTGCATATCTGGGTTGTACAATATTTGTACATTATTATTTTTAAAAGTCAAGATCGTAATTGGATATGATGAAATTGGGGAGAAAAAAGGGGGTAAAATAATACAATAAAATAAATATTCAAGCTCTGTCAAGTTGGTTGTTGATAATTGCTAGACAGCCATTTTCAAGTCCATAGATTTTCAAGACGATTTAAGTCAAAACTGTAACAAGGCCACTCAGGAACATTCAATTTCATCTTGGTAAGCAACTCCAGTGTACGTTTGGCTTTGTAATTTAGGTTATTGTCCTGCTGAAAGGTGACTTTGACTCCCAGTGTCTGATGGAAAGAAGACTGAACCAGATTTTCCTCTAGGATTTTTGCCTGTGTGAGAGTGGGATTTGAAGGAGTCAGGCGCAGGAGGGTAAATCACAGAATACAGAGTTTATTCCGTAGTACAGTTGTGGTCAAAAGTTTTGAGAATGACACAAGTATTGGTCTTCACAAAGTTCGCTGCTTCAGTGTTATGAGATATTTTTGTCAGATGTTACTATGGTATACTGAAGTATAATTACAAGCATTCCATAAGTGTCAAAGGCTTTTATTGACATTTACATTTAGTTTATGCAAAGAGTCAATATTTGCAGTGTTGACCCTTCTTTTTCAAGACCTCTGCAATCCGCCCTGGCATGCTGCCAATTAACTTCTGATTGATGGCAGCCCATTCTTGCATAATCAATGCTTGGAGGTTGTCAGAATTTGTGGGTTTTTGTTTGTCCACCTGCCTCTTGAGGATCGACCACAAGTTCTCAATGGGATTAAGGTCTGGGGAGTTTCCTGGCCATGGACCCAAAATGTCGATGTTTTGTTCCCTGAGCCACTTAGTTATCACTTTTGCCTTATGGTAAGGTGCTCCATCATGCTGGAAAAGGCATTGGTCGTCACCAAGCTGTTCTTAGATGGTTGGGAGAAGTTGCTCTCGGATGATGTGTTGGTACCATTCTTTATTCTTGGCTGTGTTCTTAGGAAAATTTGTGAGTGAGCCCACTCCCTTGGCTGAGAAGCAACCCCACAAATGAATGGTCTCAGGATGCTTTACTGTTGGCATGACACAGGACTGATGGTAGCGCTCACCTTGTCTTCTCCGGACAAGGTATTTTACGGATGCCATAATCAATCGGAAAGGGGATTCATCAGAGAAAATGACTTTACCCCAGTCCTCAGCAGTCCAATCCCTGTACCTTTTGCAGAATATCAGTCTGTCCCTGATGTTTTTCCAGGAGAGAAGTGGCTTCTTTGCTGCCCTTCTTGACACCAGGCTATCCTCCAAAACTATTCGCCTCACTGTGCGTGCAGATGCACTCACACCTACCTGCTGCCATTCCTGAGCAAGCTCTGCACTGGTGGTGCCCCGATCCCGCAGCTGAATCCATTTTAGGAGATGGTCCTGGCGCTTGCTGGACTTTCTTGGTCGCCCTGACATATTCTTCACAACAATTCAACCTCTCTCCTTGAAGTTCTTGATGATCCGATAAATGGTTGATTTAGGTGCAATCTTACCAGCAGCAATATCCTTGCCTGTGAAGCCCTTTTTGGGCAAAGCAATGATGACGGCACGTGTTTCCTTGCAGGTAACCATGGTTAACAGAGGAAGAACAATGATTTCAAGCACCACCCTCCTTTTAAAGCTTCCAGTCTGTTATTCTAACTCAATCAGCATGACAGAGTGATCTCCAGCCTTGTCCTCGTCAACACTCTCACCTGTGTTAACGAGAGAATCACTGACATGATGGCAGCTGGTCCTTTTGTGGCAGGGCTGAAATGCAGTGGAATGTTTATGAGGGATTGAGTTCATTTTCATGGCAAGAGGGACTTTGCAATTAATTGCAATTCATCTGATCACTCTTCATGACATTCTGGAGTATATGCAAATTTACATCATCAAAACTGAGGCAGCAGACTTTGTGAAAATTAGTATTTGTGTCATTATCAAAACTTTTGACCACGACTGTACTTTTATCCAATATAAAAAACACAATTTCAAATTTTGCTACATAAGACCGAATCGAGCCTGTCAGTCACATATGTACACCAGATGTCGTCATAGGGTGTATCATTCAGAAAGCGAAGCCCAGACGTGCCTTCCTCCTGGGAAATTATATATGAAACACATCTCACTGTCATAGAAATGCCTCAGACATGATGAAAACAAGCCCATATTTCCCCAGGTTGAAATTCCCCTTAAAACAGTGTTGCAATGAAGAAGAGTCGTGCTGATTGAATATGAATGGCAAAGATGGCACGAGACAAAACAAAAACAACGAGCCGGAATAGTTGAAATAATGTGATTCACCTAGTGTGTGACATGCTATCAGAGTTGAGGCCCATTACAGAGTTACCAATTATCCGTAATGGATGGGAAGGATTCATAGTAAAACTTGTCCTCAGAGGGCCAATTGTCTAACACATAATACGATCTTGAGATCAGGTACTGTTGCAACCCTTTACAAAAAATTATTTGTTGCTGTTCGTGGCAAATTTGCTGAAAACTAAATAGTGTGCCACAAAATGTTGCCAGATGTTTGTAAATGTTTGCCACTAGTGGTGAATCTGCAGCAAACCTTTGGCAACAATAATGTTTATTGCCACTTCTGGTAAACAGTTTGCAATATTTTTATTTTTTTTCTGGCAGACTATTCTCTAAATATTCTATTTGAATGTGTGGCAAACCTGTGGAGTAACATGTATTGCCACCAGTGGCAAACAGTTTACCAGAATCTGTTTCTGGTGAAAACTATAAATTCCAAGACCAGTAACCATTGATGACCAATAAAGGGATTAGAAACATCTGTTGGAAAATGGAAACCAATCTATCTAGCTAGCTACCAAAGTTGTCCGGTGAGTGTCTAACTTATTAATTAAACTTCCTAATAAACTGTAACATTTTATTAGCTAAAGGATGCCTAGTTAGCAATGTCATTGTCACGATCGTCGTTAAGAGAGGAGGACCAAGGCGCAGCGTGATGAATGAACATGTTTATTTATCATTAGCGATAAACACGGACAGTAAACAAAAAACGACTCGTAACGTCCAAGGTAACATAGACCAACACGGAACAAGAACCCACAAACACAAAGGGAAAAACAGACAGTTTAAATATGGCTCCCAATCAGAGACAACCAGCCACAGCTGACACTCGTTGCCTCTGATTGGGAGTCACTCAGGCCAACATAGAAATAAACAAACTAGAACTCCCTACATAGAAATACACCACATAGAAAGAACACACCCTGGCTCAACATATAGAGTCCCAGAGCCAGGGTGTTACGGTACCCCCCCCTAAAGGTGACCGCGCCTCAACTAGAGCAAAACAGGGGAGGGCTGGGTGGGCATTCCTCCTCGGCGGCGGTTCTGGCTCCGGCCTTGCCCACCACCCTCCAATAAACCCCCCATAGCGCCCCTGGTCCGGTCTGGCCCCGCTGGCTGGAGCTGAACTGGACGTAGCAGGAGCGGTTAGCTTCAGCTCCGTAGTGGAGCAGTTGACCGGTACCTTACCAGGCACCGGTGACCCAGGCACGGGTTGTGCTGGACTGACGACGCGCACCCCTGGCTTGGTGCGTGGAGCCGGAACGGGCCGGACCGGGCTGACGACTCGCACCCCTGGCTTGGTGCGTGGAGTAGGCACGGGCCGAACCGGGCTGACGACTCGCACCCCTGGCTTGGTGCGTGGAGTAGGCACGGGCCGAACCGGGCTGACGACTCGCACACCTGGCTTGGTGCGTGGAGTAGGAACGGGCCGGACCGGGCTGATGATGCGCACCCCTGGCTTGGTGCGTGGAGTAGGAACAGGCCGGACCGGGCTGGCGACGCACACCGTAGGCTTGGTGCGTGGAGCAGGGACAGGCCGGACCGGGCTGGCGACGCACACCGTAGGCTTGGTGCGAGGAGCAGGGACAGGCCGGACCGGGCTGGCGACGCACACCGTAGGCTTGGAGCGAGGAGCAGGGACAGGCCGGACCGGGCTGGCGACGCACACCGTAGGCTTGGTGCGAGGAGTAGGAACGGGCCGGACCGGGCTGACGATGCGCACCCCTGGCTTGGTGCGTGGAGTAGGAACAGGCCGGACCGGGCTGGCGACGCACACCGTAGGCTTGGTGCGTGGAGCAGGGACAGGCCGGACCGGGCTGGCGACGCACACCGTGTGCTTGGAGCGAGGAGCAGGGACAGGCCGGACCGGGCTGGCGACGCACACCGTAGGCTTGGTGCGAGGAGCAGGGACAGGCCGGACCGGGCTGGCGACGCACACCGTAGGCTTGGAGCGAGGAGCAGGGACAGGCCGGACCGGGCTGGCGACGCACACCGTAGGCTTGGTGCGCGGAGCAGGGACAGGCCGGGCCGGGCTGTGGAGACGGATAGGAGACCTGGAGTGAAGAGCTGCCACAACCCGTCCTGGCTGAATGCCTACCTTCACACACTCTGTGTGAGGCATCAGCACAGGACGTACAGGGCTGTGTACCCGTACTGGCATAACAGCACGTGACACTGGCGCAGGATATCCGGGACCGAGGAGAGGCACTGGAGGCCACGAGCGCTGAGCCGGCACACTCCGTCCTGGCTGCATGCCCACCTTCGCACAACACGTGCGGGGTGCTCGCACAGGACGTACCGGACTATGCCGGACCACTCGTGGCACAGTACGCAGCTCCGCATACCCCGGAACCTGACCAGTCTCATGCTGCCATGCCTGAGTACGGGGAGTTGGCTCTGCTCTCCATCCAGGCTCCGCCAACCTGCCTTCTGGCCCCCCAAACCCGGTGGCCTCCTCTCCAAATCGCCCTGTGGCAGCCTCCTGCTGCCCAGCCGCCCATGCCGTGTGTCCCCCCCTAAAAATGTTTTGGGGTTGCCTCTCGTCCGTCCGACGATGACACTGCTGACGCCGCTGCTCCTCTCTCGCCAGGGCCTTAATCCTAGCCCATGGTCCTTTTCCCCCGAGCATGTCCTCCCAGGACCAAACTTTGCCCACCTGGGCCATCGCCAACCTCTCCATCTCCTTTCCCGGCGCTTACTCCCATGTCCAGTCTGCCTGCTCCTGGACACGCTGCTTGGTCCTTGTATGGTGGGTTCTTCTGTCACGATCGTCGTTAAGAGAGGAGGACCAAGGCGCAGCGTGATGAACGAACATGTTTATTTATCATTAGCGATAAACACGGACAGTAAACAAAAACAACAAACGACTCGTAACGTCCTAGGTAACATAGACCAACACGGAACAAGAACCCATAAACACAAAGGGAAAAACAGACAGTTTAAATATGGCTCCCAATCAGAGACAACCAGCCAAAGCTGACACTCGTTGCCTCTGATTGGGAGTCACTCAGGCCAACATAGAAATAAACAAACTAAAACTCCCAACATAGAAATACACCACATAGAAAGAACACACCCTGGCTCAACATATAGAGTCCCAGAGCCAGGGTGTTACAGTCATGTTTTATGGGATAGAGTCATACACATTTTGTTGATAGCTAGCTAACATTAACTATCATATTTTAGCGCATTTTAAGTGATAGGTAGCTAGCTAACTAATTGTTTGCCTAAACTTAAATTTTTAGGTGAATATGTTGCTGTCTTTTAATACCATGTTAATATGCTAGTGTCACCGTTCAGTAGCATGTTAGCTAGCACAACAGCTAAAGTAGATAGCTACAATATCAGTTGATTTCACATCAAAGCAAAACATAACTTTTGCAGATGAATACCCTTCCCCTACCCCTAGTGTTGGAAGAGGCTGTATTAGGAGGAGGATGCATCAACACCCTAGAAATATGTTTGTGTTGCACTCACTCATTACATTTTGAGTCTTAAAGATTGATAAGGTAAATGCATGTATTATTCTCATAAACATACAAATACATGACTACTGCCACCCCTATTCATTTAGATCTTTCCTCACTACCTTGCCTTTGTTCAACCATTTGACCTGGCTTATCAACCCTTCCCTCAAAGTATTTCATTTAGAAATGTGGGTGAAACTATTCATTAAAATCTCTCCCCCTAGCGGTTAAGCCTAGCGGTTAAGAGCGTTGCCAGTAACTGATAGGTCGCTGGTTCAAATCCCTGAGCCAGCAAGGTGGAAAAATCTGCTGTTTTGCCCTTTAGCAAGGCAGTTAAACCCCAACAACTACTGCTCCCCTGGTGCCAAATACCTGGATGTCGATTTAAGGCAGCCCCCCGCACCTCTAATTCAGAGGGGTTGGGTTAAATGCGGAAGACACGTTTCAGTTTAATGCATTCAGTTGTGCAACTGATTTGGTAACCCCTTTCCCTTTTACCCTCTCTTTTGCAGTGGAAGAAATGGACCAGGAAATGGTCTTGTTTTTGGACGACTCGACTATAGCCTGAAGTTAAAGAACATAAAATCCTTACACACAGTGAATATTCTGTAAACACCACCTTTTTTATACACGAGGGGAGGTCCTCGGGACACACACATGAATAAATAGGACTGTGGACACATCAAGCGACACACCAAGATTGAGCAGTAGCCGGGTCTTGCCAGGAACATGTTGAAAGATTTCTTGTCTATTTTGAAAACTGATTGTTAAAAGGAATTTATAAATCAATGAATATTTTGTGCTCACAACAGTCAAATGTGAGAGGGCAGCCCTGATGACCAAATGGCTGAAAAACATCTGGCCGGCAAACCAGGCTGCAGAGTACACGAAGGAGACTGCGATCCAGAGGGCTCAGTTGACCAGACAGAATGGGGCCAAGACAGTCGAGATAGTCCGAGAGTATCCGCGTCTGCTGGATACTCCAGGTATTGTGGGTTAATTGTTTTACAAAAACATTAGACTTGAATTTGATTATGTTTGCTGTGATTAACTAGCCTGGCTTATGAAACCCACATGACTCAAAGCGCAGCGAGAGCTGTGACCACACTGGTCTGGAAAGGAGGCTGTTTGTTAACCCTGTAAGTCCAAGCTGTTGGTGGGGGTGGGGGGTGGGGTATTCTAACCTGACATATGGATTTTTTTTCAGATGGTCGTACTATGGATCATTTTGCTATTTGATTTGGAATTTTAGGACCCCTTTAGTTATCATTACAAATATGAAAAAATAGACAGATTTTAGATTAGATCAAATATTGAAATTGGCCTTTACTACCATAGCCCAGAGAAACACATTGAATAACACATTCATGAATGGCAAAAAACGACAGTCAAAAACGTAATCATAAGAAACAAGGTTTTGAAGTGTCTGTCCAATATCTAGGCGATTTAAGAAAACTCAGGAAATATATACACTACCGGTCAAAAGTTTTAGAACACCTACTCATTCAAGGGTTTTTCTTTATTTTTTACTGTTTTGTACAATGTAGAATAATAGTGAAGACATCAAAACCCTGAAATAACACATGGAATCATTTAGTAACAAAGAAGTGTTAAGCAAATCAAAATATATTTTCTTTGAGAATCTTCAAATAGCTATCCTTTGCCTTGATGACAGCTTTGCACACTCTTGGCATTCTCTCAACCAGCTTCACCTGGAATGCTTTTCCAACTGTCTTGAAGTAGTTCCCACATACGCTGAGCACTTGCTAGCTGCTTTTCCTTCACTCTGAGGTCTGACTCATCCCAAACCATCCCAATTTGGTTGAGGTCGGGTGATTGTGGAGGCCAGGTCATCTGATGCAGCACTCCATCACTCTCCTTCTTGGTAAAATAGTCATTTATCTTTGCTTATTTGAGCTGTTCTTGCCATAATATGGACTTGGTCTTTTATCAAATAGGGCTATCTTCTGTATACCCCCCCCCCCCCTACCTTGTCACAACACAACTGATTGGCTCAAACACATTAAGAAGGAAATAAATTCCACAAATTAACTTTTAAGAAGGCGCACCTGTTAATTGAATTTAATTCCAGGTGACTTCCTCATGAAGCTGGTTGAGAGAATGCTATGAGTGTGCAAAACTGTCATCAAGGCAAGGGTAGCTATTTGAAGAATCTCAAATATAAAATATATTTTGATTTGTTTAATACTTTTTTGGTTACTACATGATTACATATGTGTTATTTCATAGTTTTGATGTCTTCACTGTTATTCTACAATGTAGAAAATAGTAAAAATAAAGAAAAACCCTTGAATGAGTAGGTGTTCTAAAACTTTTGACCGGTAGTGTATATATTTTTTTGCACATAATAACCCAATTTTTGGGAAAGCACAACTACGCTGAACAAAAATATAACCGCAACATCTAAAGTGTTAGTCCCATGTTTCATGAGCTGAAAAAAAAAATCCTGGAATTTTTCATACACATCTTATTTATCAAATGTTGGGCACAAATTTGTTTACATCCCTGTTAGTGAGCATTTCATATTTGCCAAGGTAATCCATCCACCTGACAGGTGTGGCATATCAAGAAGCTTATTAAACAGCATGATCATTACACAGGTGCACCTTGTGCTGGGGACTATAAAAGGCCACTCTAAAATGTATTGAGGGAGTGCACAATTGGCATGCTGACTGCAGGAATGTCCACCAGAGCTGTTGCCAGAGAACTTAATGTTAATTTGGCAGTTTGTCCAACCGGCCTCACAACCGCAGACCACGTGTATTGCGTTGTGTGGGCGAGCGGTTTTGCTGATGTCAATGTTGTGAACAGAGTGCCCCATAGGGGCGGTGGAGTTATGGTATGGGCAGGCATAAGCTAAGTCAATGAATACAATTGCATTTTATCGATGGCAATTTGAATGCACAGAGATACCGTGACGAGATCCTGAGGCCCATTGTCGTGCCATTCATCCGCCGCCATCACTTCATGTTTCAGCATGATAATGCACGGCCCCAAGCCGCAAGGATCTGTACACAATTCCTGGAAGCTGAAAATGTCCCAGTTCTTCCCTTGCCTGCATACTCACCAGACATGTCACCAATTGAGCGTGTGTGGGATGCTCTGGATCGAAGTGTACGACAGCGTGTTACAGTTCCCGCCAATAAACAGCAACTTCGCATAGCCATTGAAAAGGAGTAGGACAACATTCCACAGGTCAAAATCAACAGCCTGATCAACTCTATGCAAAGGAGATGTGCTGCGCTGCAGGAGGCAAATGATGGTCACAGCAGATACTCTGGTTTTCTGATCCATGCCTCTACCTTTTTTTTAAAAGGTATTTGTGACCAACAGATGCATATCTGTATTCCCAGTCATGTGAAATCCATAGATTAGGGCCTCAATTGACTGATTTCCTTATATGAACTGTAACTCAGTAAAATCTTTGAAATTGTTGAGTTTATATTTTTGTTCAGTATACCTTCTTACTTCCATTTATTTTTTCAAACTGGTACCGGTTACCTTCAAACGATATCTCTAGCTTAAACTGATGGACTTTGATGGGGATATTTTATTATGTTACTTTGACTGATGCAGCTGTGCATCAATTAACTCTAGGGGGTTGTGCAAAGGGGTTTGATTGGTTCTCTCAAATGTTTTTTCCCCCTCTGGGTTAAGACCTCTCATTGTTTGGATTTGATAATCCAACCATTGTAGTAGAAGTGTAGGCGCTCAGGGACTGTGCGTGGCTGTGGGTGTTTGAGTGAGAAAGACACAGAGGAGAGCCAACCTGTAAAAGCACAGCCCCCTTTATTATCAACGCATTGTGCCAACAACATCAAAGAGCCATTCCAGACTCTGAAGTCAGGAGGACTTAAACAGTTCGGTGTTAGCCAGACTAGTGATTAACTGCAATGGGAAAGTAAATGTTTGTCAGGCTACAACATAACAGAAGTTGAAGTCATATGGGGCAGAGTCTCACAAGCATTAGAAACAGCATTGGGTGTGGAACATGTGGATCTGAGCAAGTGTGATGTCATTAATGTTTGTGGATATGTTTGTAAATATTAAGTTGTCTATTGTTTTTGTCAATGTACTGTATGTTTTTGTTTGTAAAATTAATAAAAGTTGTAAAATAAAATATTTAAAAAACTGTAATTGTCAGGACTTCTACATTTTAAACCCGGACTGCTCGGGGACTCACTGATAACTGGGTCGCGGTCTTCAAGGACAGAAATAAGCAGGCCCAAGGCTCTTCGAAGTGCAGGTATGGTTTGAAATGACCTTGCTGGTGGTGCCTCAGATGCTTATTTATTTTTAGCCTGAAACAAAGTTATTGACTAAACATTCTTCTCTCCAGATGCACAAGGTGACATCACGTTAAGACTTCTGCCAGTGGTCCTCCCTATACTAGACCCAGCTTCAATGAGACCAGAAAGCCCTTCATTGACTTGCAGCCTGTACGTTTAAACAGTGGATAGTCATAGGGAGATTGATGGGGAAATTAGATGATGGCGTTTTGTAAACATTGAATTAAAGGAACAGCATTCCAAAATATGTTACGCATAACTGCACACTCCAAGACATTAGGTAGGTCTCCATCCAATTTGCGACAGATTTTCATGTGAATATTCTCAAATCTGCATAAAACAAAATGCACATTTGATCACCGGAGTTGTTTCCAGCACAGCAAACTGACTTTTTGCAGATACAAGGCTGTGCTTGATGACGTAGTGCACATACAAATAACATTTGCCGTTAAATTCCCATGTACCGAATACAAAACAACAAGTTTAATGGGTTTTCATCGCATTTTCAACTCTACTGATGGTTTTGTCACAAACTGTTGTGTTATATAGCAAATATGCTCACTCTGGTCTTGGCACATGTGCTCTAGCCAACAGCTCTCACGTACAGTGGGGGTAGGCTATCAACATTATGACATTATTATGGATAAGAGCGATTATTTGTATTTGTCAAATGGCAGCCAAGCATCAATCATCATGTCACCAGAATAAGACCCTCAATATTTATTGGAAAGGAGCATCAAGCTCATCATCTTGCACATTCACCATCCTGTGAAGTTCATCATAATTTATTTAATCTGTAGCCTAATAAACTGCATGCTTTTACGAGTTGTAGTGGGAGGACCACACAACATATAATCGCATGAATCCAAGTTTACTTTGATATAATGGTTATTATATCAATATTTGACAAGATAGAGTATTGAACACACAGTGGGGCGAATCACCTCAAGATAAAAACGTAATATTCAATATCAGTAAGTTAGACTAAATATTAGCAATTCATATACTCGGGGGTAATAACATTTAATCTGGATAATAACACAAAACAAATCATAAGGCTAGAGAAATGTATCGACAAATATTACAACAACAAGCAACACTTGAACATAACAGAGGATAAACGAGGAGAATCAATCTCCAAGAGAAAATCCGACTCCTCGACGGATACAGATGATTTATGCTTTTCACCACTGGGACTGGTAAGTGTGGAAAGCGATCTGTTGAAGTCGATAAATGACAAACTGGGCATACTAGAATTAGTCAGTAAGGATGTTAAGGAGTTGAAGGCGAGCCTTGAAAGAAGTGATGAAAAAGCTGCAATAATGGAGAAAGATACAAAAAAGATGAAAGGGACAGTCACTAAGATAGAAACGGACGTTAATCAACTTAAAAAGGAGAACAACTTTCTGAGAGAAGCCTTACTAGACATGAGAGAAAATCTAGTACTTACGGGTATCCCAAAAAAAGGAGAGGTTACCGGAAAAATTGTTACAGTGCTTCAAATCCCACTCGATGCTGTCGATAAAATCCAACTCGAACGTGTACACCGTTTCGGACAAAGAGGACAGAGATATGAGCGTCCAATCGTTGCCAAATGTTCTTTCTTTCAGGATAAAGTAATGGTTAAAAGCCTAGGTAAAAGACTTGCTAGCACGAAAATAGGTATGAATGATCAGTTCCCGAGGGAGAT